CCCCAACCCCCGGCGCGTGCGGAGAGCAGACGTCGCGGCGGCGCTGCGCGTGTCGGGCAACGTTGAGCACGAGGGCGATGCGTTCGGGGGGCGGCACGCGCACCGCGAAGTGCTGCTTTCTGTTGCTCTTTGGGTTGAAGGCGGCTCCACACACGTTGGGCGACTAGCGAGCTGACTCCTCGCTCAATCCCGACTTGCCGAGGTGGTCGGCGAATGTGCGCTTCCTTTGATGTGTGTAAAAGACCAACGTGCTGCGGGTCGGGCAAATAGCAAGCAAACAGTCGATACTAGCGGTCGCTTGCCACTCACCGAATGCGAAATGTGTGGAGCCGCCTATGTTGGGATACGTGTAGTTTTACCGTCCGTGTTTGCGCGTTTCAACTGTTCCCTGAAGGTGCCCTGAGACTCATCTCGTTTTCCCCGTCTTGGGTTTTACGGGTTAACTTTCACCATTCAGAAATAACGAAACTATTCCAGTTTCAGGTTTACTCTCACATTCCTTATCGTGAAGACGCTCGGAAACCTCAGGGGTTGTGACCTCAAAGGGTGGTGTTTACGCGGACGGGTAATCGGTGGAGGTAAAACTGAAATATATTCCGAGTGACGTTGAGTTGATGGAGCTCATCCGCTAGTCGCGTTTGGGTTGTTTTTTGTCGACTCTTATTTCGCTATTTCTAGTTCCAGTTCGAGGTGTCGGTGTAGATACATTTCTGGAAGTTGAATGCGTAGGCTTCCATGGTCGGAATCAGTATTTACTTGGCTCTCCGGGAGATGTTTCTCAGACTTCCGTATGATTGATCTCGTTATATTTTCAATTTTTGTTAATGTACGTCTTGTCCCAATTCTTAGCTTAGGAGGTAGCTAAGCTACCTCCAGGAAGGACTCAGGTTATCCCACACTCTCGAGGTCGTCGCCAGAAGTGTTTCGCGATTTCTTCTGAATACACCCTCGTGGCATAGAAGTCCTCCCTTATTGGATCCGTCTGAAAACAAGTTCTTCCATTCTTATCGTCTGATTGCCTTCGATATTTGGAGATACGCGCATAGAAACCCTTCTAATTTGTAGGTACTAAAATTTGCATTAAATATGGGTGTATTAAATGAGTAAATATATCGTTAGGAGGATGACTGTGTGTTGAATTGAAATATTTACTTACCTTCTCCAGAAGATAATGTAGAGACGGGCGTTTCCGCTACTCGTCACAGGTACTAGTGCTACGGCAACCTAACTGAATTCATCGCTGAATGGGAGATCGTAAGATCTCAGGCCGTAAACAGTGACGGCTATTCAACCCCGCAGAAGGGGGGAATGAGGCTCACGCAGATGTCATTCAGCGTATGACGAGAATATTCGCGTTTACGGGAATATTAGCTCACAAATGTGAAAAGCTTGGCGCCGTTACTATTCAGTTCGTGCGCATGGGAAGACAAATGAATTGGTGGAGGCTAACAAGCAGTTGGAGGTGGGTCCTCTTTGTAGGAAAATATTTTAAAAATTGTTTCTTTCCAGAGTCTAATGCAACGAAAATATTCCTTTATAAGGGTGGGAGAATTCTCTGCAATCATTTTATAAACACGATTTATTTTCAAAGGTAATACAAGTTATCATCAAAGGTAATACGACTGCTTTGAATATTACCGATAAAATCGGTGAACGAATTAAGGTGAAAACTTTCAAAGCACGAACATTATTTATTTGGAATATTCTGCTAATGTAAATAACATAATTGCAAAATGTTATTTGATATCAATAAAATGTTCGTAAAAAAGATTAATACTGGTACTCAAATTATACAAAAAACAACGCAATGAATATCCAAGCGAAGAAACGAAATCGGTAAAACTTTAGATATAATTAGTCTGGTTGGTTGCCCTGGGCTAATTTTTAAACTTATTGGTCCCACTTCACAAATGGAATAGTCAGGATAATAGTTTGAACAGCGCCAATTATTCAGTGCGATTATAAGGTAAATTGATTATTAGTAACTTACTCGTATCTATTATAGAAATGCCGTATGGTAATTGCTGTGCACTGTAAATATTAACATTTGCAAACATTTATTTAATGTTTAAGAAATAAGGTTATTTTGGTTTCTTCAAGGGCATTCCACAATGTCGGAAGCCGCAATTGCGATGCGATTTTTTTTGTGACGGACCGTTCATTCCGTCGACGTCACCATACATCTGTGTAAATTCCGTGTTTTATCACGTGGATCAAAACTAAATTTTGTAATACTTCATCGAAGTTTCAATGGCATCCATGATAAGGGCTGTTACTTATCGGCAAAATCTGGAAACATCTGAGAAAATTACGAGCTTGAAGAAAGTCAAGAAAATTTCACAAAATCACGAGGAAAATATTGACAATAAAAATATTTCTTCTACATTTCACGGTATTGGCAATGCTTTCTACTTAACTCTCCCTGAATAGATCTTCCTATGGTATTTCCAATGATGTTTGAACCATTACAGTTTAACAAAAATAATTACATTATTTAAATTTAAAATTACGTTAATGAAATAATACATGATTGAAATTTAAGATTTTCTTAATTCATTTCGTAATTCCATCAATAAAATTAATTAACTTCAACTCAAATACCCTAATTATATTAAAAATAAAATATATCTCTTTTTCCTAGCGTTGATTCAGAGTTAATTTCATGGGCCTGGATTGAACTTACATTGTGCGAAGTATAAACTTCCTTCAAATGGTCAGTGAATTAGTTTTCGTAAAAATCACTGAAATAAATAGAATCTATTCTTAG